GCGAAGGCCAGGGTCGGGGCGAGTGGGGCCAAGGCAGGAAACAAGCTGAGTTCAGCCAGGGCCATGGCCAATAGGCTGGGGCTCGCGGCTCGGACCAGAGGCCAGAGGTCCGGGTTGGGGCGAGGGGGCGAGGGGGGGCGTGCTACAGCCATGGGGGCGGGGGCGAGGGGAAGCCGGCCACAGCCAGGGGGACGACGACAAACCACGAACCACGAAAATAATAGGGCGGGGGCGAGGGGGGCTGGGGCCAGGGCCAGGGGGCGCCAAGGCCAAGGAGAGAGGCTGGGTTCAGGGCCAGGGCAGGAGGACGGGGGCGAGGGGGCCAGGGGAAGCAGGCCAGAGCCAGGGGGACGACGACGAACCACGAAAATAAGGGTCTGGGGCGAGGGGGGGGCGTCAGAGAAAAGGAGGGATGCTGGGTTCAGGGCCAGGGCAGGAGGACGGGGGCGAGGGGGTCAGGGGAAGCAGGCCACAGCCAGGGGGACGACGACGAATCATGAAAATAAAGGGTCCGGGGCGAGGGGGGCTGGGGCCAGGGCCAGGGGGCGCCAAGGCCAAGGAGGGAGGCTGGGTCCAGGCCCAGGGCAGGAGGACGGGAGCGGGGGGCCAGGGGAAGCAAGCCAGAGCCAGGAGGACGACGACGAACCACCAAAATAGAGGGTCTGGGGTGAGGGCCAGGAGACGCCAGAGCCAAGGAGGGAGGCTGGGTTCAGGGCCAGGGCTGGAGGACGGGAGCGAGGGGGCCATGGCAGGGGAAGCAGGCCAGAGCCAAGGCGACGAAAATAAAGGGTCCGGGGCGAGGGGGGCCGGGGCCAGGGCCCGGGGACGCCAGAAGACGACGACGGGGATGAGAAGCCAGAGCCAGGGGGACGACGACGAACCACGAAAATAAATAGGTCCGAGCTCTAGAACACGACTGTGCAAGAGAATAAAGGATCTTGGGCGAGGGGGGTTGGGGCCAGGGCCAGGGGACGCCATAGCCAAGGAGGGAGGCTGGGTTCAGGGCCAGGGCAGGAGGACGGGGGCGAGGGGGCCAGGGGAAGCAGGCCAGAGCCAGGGGGACGACGACGCCAGGGCGAGGGGGCCTGGGGCCAGGGCCGGGGGAGGCGGCTGGCTGGGCCCAGGGCCAGGACCAGGGGCGACGACGAACGAAAACAAAGGCTACAGGGCGAGGGGGGCTGGGGCCAGGGCCAGGGGAGGAGGCAGGGTCCAGGGCCAGGATCAGAGGGACGACGACGAACAAAACTAAAGGGTCCAGGGCGAGGGGAACTGGGGCCAGGGCCAGGGGGGGGGGAGGCTGGGTCCAGGGCCAGGGCCAGCGGGGCGAGGGGGGCTGGGGCCAGGACCAGGGGGGGAGGCTGGGTCCAGGGCCAGGACCGGACCGGGGACGACGACGAACGAAACTAAAGGGTCCAGGGCGAGGAGGACTGGGGCCAGGGCCGGGGGAGGGGTGGCTGGGTCCAGGGCCAGGGCCAGCGGGGCGAGGGGGGCTGGGGCCAGGACCAGGGGGGGAGGCTGGGTCCAGGGCCAGGGCCGGGACCAGAGGGACGACGACGAGCGAAAATAAAGAGGTCCGAGCTCTAGAGCACAACTGTGCGAGAATAACACTCCGCTTTCCTCGCAGCTTGGCCGCGCATCGGGGGCGAACACCAAAAGACCATTCAGTCATACTCGCCACGTGGCACCGTAGCGGGGCGGACACAAACACCATTATGCTCCACCCGTCACATTGCAAAGACAGAGGGGGGCAGGAGGGACAAACATGATTCTACGCTGCTCGTCACGCGGCAAGGACTGGGAACCGAACCATCGACTCATCCACTCGCCCCGTCACATTACAACGCCTGGAAGGTGAAACACGTGATGCCCCGCTCTGCCCATCAAAGGGCAACGCCTGGATGTCGACACGGCAGCACTATTGTGCTGTACTCGCCATGTGGCCACGTAGCGGGGCGCCACAATAGCTATTCTAGTCTTGCGCGTTGGATGACAGCTGGCAGCGCAGAGGGGCGGAACAAGCAACTATTCTACTCTACTCGTCACGCGGTAACGCTGGGGGGGTGGAGGTAGAAATACTATTACACTCCACTCGTCGCGGGACAACGCCTGAGAACAGACAAACATACTACGCAACTCTACTCGTCACGTGGTAACGCCTGGGGGGCGAAAGAACACATCATATTCGATTAAACTCGCCAGGTGACAACGCAGGGGCACGTAACAACAGTGCGATTGTGTTCGCCACGTGGCTACGCAGCAGGCGCCCCGTGGCAACGCAGCGAAGATCTCTGTGGGCCCACGCAACGCTAGAAGGGCGCGCCGAAAAGGTCCGGGAAAGTGCCCGAGGCCGCCATGCGGACCCTGCCACTGGAGCCTTCGGTTGAGTGTTCCTGTGGGGCTCGGAGACATACGAGCGGTGTGGCGACATGGAGGGGGGCCGCAGGCGGACCCTGCCACTGGAACCATTCTGCGAAGCTCCCTGAAGCCACAAAAACGCAAGTCTGGCGTGCTCAAACACGGCCGGGACGCCGTGCGACCTTGCCAGTGAGCCTGCGGTGGAAACGCCCAATGGTTGCAAGAAACGCCTGAGGAGAATCGGGGCCGCCACCCGGACCTTGCCTCTTAAGGCTTTCGGCGGAACCCCCCACGTGAGGCCACGAGATGTGTGAGGGGCGTGCCCGCACAAGCCAGAAATGGAGGAGCAGGAGGAGCTGACTAGAGGATGGGGAGGATGAGAGGGAGCAGGAGGAGAGGAGTGGAGAAGGATGCGGAGAAGAGAGGAGTCGACGTGAAAGAAGAGGATGAAGAGAAGGAGCAGGAGGAGGAAAGGAGTGGAGGAGGAGGAGGAAGAGGGAGCGGAGAAAGAGAGGGAGGACCAGTGCAAACCTAAGACTCATCAACGATGTTGGCATAAACCTCCCTCCAAACTCCCTCTTCATAGGCCCCTACAAAGTTTCATTTCCACTGAGAAAGTGCCCCGATAGGAGACAACCGTTTGAAGATTCTGCCGCGTGCCAAAAACCATTCTCGGGACTTCAACGCCACGAATCAACCTGACAATTGCGTCTTCACGACCAGTCCTGAATCGAAACCAGAGAACGATCCTGAGACTTCAACGCTTCGAATCAAAGTAACTGCTGCGTCCTGACAATCCCGAGCCGTTCCAAAACACGATTTCTGGTACGCTAACCATGGGAATCCGTGAACATCTTGCCGTGGTCTCAGAAGAATGTGCACGGCGCTAAGACGAGCGCTGAATAATGAACAAAAACCGCCTTCAATCCGTGAACCTCTTGCAGATGCTGAAGCCGGATGCGCGCGGCGCTAAGGCGAGAACCTTTTGAAAAGGAACAGCCCTGAGTCCGCGAAGCTCTTGCAGCTATTAAAAACGATTGTGCGCGGCTCTACGGCGAGAACCACATTTTGAAAACCACCCGCCCTCCATCCGCGAAGCTCTTGCACATGGTTAACACGAGCGTGCGCGACGCTACGGCGGGAGCCACATTCTGATAAGGAACAACCCTCAACCCGCGAAGCTCGTGCACTTGTTTTAGAACGATTGCGCGCGGCACTGAAACGATAACCACATTTTGAAAACGGCCCGCCCTCAATCCGTCAAACTCTTCCAATGCTTAAAATGTGTTCGCGGGGCTGAAGCGATAGCCACATGTTTGAAGCGGCCCGCCCTCCATCTGCGAAGCTGTTGCCAAGTCGAAGCTCCATGATCAAATCGGACGCGAAATGCCTGGCCCGCCCCGCCCTTCCGACTGGCCTCGGTGTGCAACAGGGAGGAGTTATTGAAAGAAACGGAGCTGTTCGTTCCCTGGTGTGCGCGACATTTGTGGTGTGTTCCTGCGCTGCCGTTGTGGAGGTCGTGGTTTGTTATCGATCAGTGATGCGGGCCTTTCGCGCCGCAAATCGAACTCATCCGAACGCCCTTGTGCGTGTGCAAGGGGCCTAATCCGTGTCAGATAGTACCACGCGGGCCACTTGCGCGCGTCGGTCGCGCGAGCATGTCGAACTCCTTCCAAAACCTTCATGGACATCGTCATCGTTATCGGCGGGCGTGACCAACATCGGCACCGTCATTGGCCTTGCCGACGTCATCGCCGCCATCGTCACCATCATCGCTACTCTCATCACCGCGTCTACCGTCGCCATCATACCGCGCCCGCCCAAGTCACCGACTCGCCACCGCGGCCGCGTCGGAGGCGCCGCACTAGCTGGCCGCTGCGTGCGCAAGCGTGTGCGGGCTACGCGGCCGCAGAGATACACCAGCCAACGCCAAGCACTCATCGGAATCGCCGTCGCATGGGTGTTGCAAACCAAGTTGCGGGTGGGGGGGGGGAATGATTGCGCGAGCAGTGAAGTTGACAGCTCACTGCGAGCACAGCATATATTGCATTGCAAATGTTGCTCCACATGGAACTACGAGTGCACAACATAGATTGCTCCCCGTAGAAAACACCACATGGGTCCATGCTGGCAAACATGTGTTTGTGTATAGTTCAATGCGGCATGAAAGAAACAGTCCCCGAGGGACCCGCGTCCTGGACCCAGAGGCCTTTTTTTTCCCAGGACCTCCCTTTCGCCCTGAGATCGTGGGCCCGCGGACGAGCCCTGTAATTAGTGCCGTTGACGTTTGCCGCGAACTCAAGGATCTCATTGATGTTCGCGATGGTCGCCGCTGCTTCGTGCCTGATCCTGTCGTAATCGGCTCCTGCAGCCCTTGCCCCAGCAATGCTATCTGGAAGCCACGTCGCGGTTGCATCTGCGAGCCCGAGAACGACCGAAAACCTGACAGGGCCCGTTGGCCTCGTGCCGAGCCTCCCGGGGGCTCCAGCAACTGGCGCCGCCAGACCTCTGGGGAGCGAAGGAAGTCCCGACGGGGGGCAGAAGCTAAGGCGGAGCCCGGCGACCCCCTCCCCCTTCCCCCGCTGCCCCTCTGGAGCGCTGCCGCGGCAGAGGCACGCACGGGTGGGGCCGGCAGGTCCGCACGCCTCGTCGGACGCGTTCCAGTGGAACTCGCTCGACCCAGTGTCGAGGAAGTTCTCCAGATCCTGAAGCGGCCAATCGGACGCCCCGGGAAGGAGGAAGGACGGCACGTGACGCGTGGAAGAGCAGGGCGACTGCGTGCTTTCCTCCAGTTTGCTCCTCCTCCTCCTCGCAGTCTGACCAGGCCCTTCCACTCACAAGCTTCTCCCCGATCCTCTTCCTCCATCCTACTCCTCATCCTTTTCTCCACTCCCTCCTCTCAGGAGAGCCCAGAATCGAACCGATAAGTCGGATCGGCGATCGAAATGGGTCGAATCGGCGGAAATCGGCAGCCAAGTCGGGAGAAATCGAACCGGCAGAACTGGCAGGCTAGTAAGCCAGTGAGGCATCCATGGAGAAACCGGAGCCCGTATCGGAACCCGAAGCCGAAACGACTCGCCATCGGAATAGGGATCGGAATCGAAATCGAGATCGAGATCGAATCTAATCCTCCTAACCGAGTCGGAGGAGTCCTGCCCCTACTCGAGCCCTGCCCCTTCGAGCGCCAGCCCCCCCTCGTCGAGCCGAACCTGATCATGATCATATCCCAATCGAGTCGAAGTCCCCTATCGGGCAGTGGCAAGAAGGGGTTGAGCGCAACCTGGTTTCGTGATGTGCAACGGGGGACGCCCCCCCCCCGCCCTCCACGCTATTCATTAACCGGAACCACCGTCAACCGAAAAACACCAGCTACGGCAGACCTGGTTTCGTGACTCCACTCCATATTTGGGATCTCGGGGCCCGATCACTGCCCGGCTCCCCTCAACCAGGGTCCTGCCTAAACCCGACCCCAGTCTAATCCTAATCCTAATCCTAATCCTCCCCTGCTCCTAGACCCTCCCGACCCTAGTCGAATCCTAATCCTATACCCTAACCCTAATCTACACCCGCCCCTAGGTCTAGACCTAACCGAGTCGATCCTAAGCCTGATCTGATCCCCATCGGGTCGAAGCCCCCCTGATCTAGTCCTGCTCGAGTCGAAGCCAAGCCTAACCTCAGTCCTGATCGAGCCCTGCCCCGTCGCACACGCCGGCCAGCCTTGGCGGTGCGCACGAGGGGGGGGAGGGAGGCGGAGGGCTTCTCAGAAGGAGGCTGCTTCTCTGAGGGCGCCGGCCTTACACCGTGTATGACTACCTACCACACCACCCCAACCCAACCCGAAGACCCGAATTTCGGGTTGGGGGGGGGTAAGGGTTCCACATGTGGTTTCTCGACGTTTCCCGACCCCCCCCCACTGGAAATCGAGGGTAAATCTGAGCCTTCGGGTTGGGTTGGGGTGGTTTGGTGGGTGGTGAGTGCAGACTAGGCCCGCGCCTTCTGAGAAGCAGGGGTGCTTCTAAGGAGCCCTCCCCCCTCCCCCCCACCCCCCTCTGCGCGCGGCTGGTATCAGGAGGGAAAAAACACGTCGATTCCCCAGAAAATATGAGAAAATATGGGAGGCGGAAGGCGTCTCAGAAGGAGGCTGCTTCTCTGAGGGCGCCGGCCTTACACCGTGCAGATTAGGCCCGCGCCCTCTAAGAAGCAGGGGTGCCTCTAAGAAGCCCGCCCCCCTCCCCCCCAACCCCCCTCTGCGCGCGGATGCTATCGGGAGGGGACAAAAACACACACAGACACAATCCATCGTCGGTTCCCCAGAAGATGGGAAAAGATGGGAAGCGGGGGGGAAGACGAAAGCCCAGCAAGTATAAGAACACATGGGCAACCTGTTGATTCGTGTGTGTCTATTTGTGTGTCTGACGTGCACGGCTTTCTTCTTCTTCTTCTTCTTCTATTTGTGTGTCCATGTGGGCCCCTTCCTGACAGCCGCCCGCGAGAGGGGGTCGCGGCGGGTAGCCGGCCTCCTCTGACGGGGCGGGGCCCCGCGCGCGGCGGCGCCGCGGCAGCGGCCAGGCCGCCCGCCCCCCCCCCCCCCGTTGAGATCGGTCCTCTCGGCCCCTCGTTCGATCTCCTCGGGCCATCGATGGTGGGTCCTCGGAGCCTCGGAACAAAAATGCCTCGGAATGCTCCATCGATCGATCCTCGCTGCTCGAGCGGCCCTCGCTCCTCCGATGCCCCGATGCTCGGAATGCTCTACGGACCCTCGGTGCTCGAGCGACCCTCGCGCCTCCGATGCCCCGATGCCTCGGAATGCTCCATCGACCCTCCATGCTCGATCGATTCTCGCTCCTCCGATCCCCCGATGCTCGGGTGCTCGATCGATCCTTCGGTGGCAAGTCATGGGAGCCTCCCATACCATCTTGTCGGCTCTTGCGAATCGACGCTGGTCGCCGCCAACGCGACGCTAAACCGACGCAAGTGGACGCTCATCGACGCTAGCCGACGCGACATCGGCGCTATCTCATCGACTCCCAGACGCTGATCGACGCTAAAGTTCGGTCGGGTCCCTACTGATGGAGTTTGGGCAACAAAAAATTAAAACATGCGAAGGTTGTCGAAAATCGTCCCCAGACTATTCTCGTAACGATGTTTGAATACTCGTCCTGTAGAGGGGCCCTCCCGACTTAACGCTAAATACGTAACTGCGAGGATACGCATATTGCTCCCATGATTTGGCACCGAACGAGCTTCGCTTCGATCTCGCCGCCGCCACATCGCTGCTAACCGAATCGACATCGGCGCTGTCTCATCGACTCCCAGACGGCGATCCACGCCAAAGACGGAACTACGAGGACACGCAGAGGGCCCCCATCACCTGAAACAGCACGGAGGAGGAGGAGGAGGAGGAGGAGGAGGAGGAGGAGGAGGAGGAGCGAGGAGGAGGAGGAGGAGGAGGGAGGAGGGAGGGGAGGAGGAGGAGGAGGAGGAGCGGAGGAGGAGGAGCGAGGAGGAGGAGGAGCGAGGCGTGGAGGAGGAGGAGGAGGAGGAGGAGGAGGAGGAGGAGAGGAGGAGGAGGAGGAGGAGGAAGAGGTGGGGGAGCGAGCAGGAGGAAGGGAGGAGGAGGAGCCTGCGAGTCGCAGCGCCAGACGTGCAGCGGCCGCACCGCGTCCCAGTCGCGGGCCGGCGGATGCACCTCTCGGGGGGGCGCCCGGCGCCCCGCGCGCCGAGCGGCCGCCCGTCGGGCCCGCGAGCCCCGGGGGGGGAAGGCTCTCGGGGCGGGAGGGGGGGAGGGGGAGGGGAGCGAGGAGGAAGGAGGAGAGGAGGAGGAGGGAGGAGGAGGAGGAGGAGGAGGAGGAGGGCGAAGGAGCGAGGAGCGAGGAGCGAGGAGCGAGCGAGGAGCGAGCGAGCGAGCGAGCAGAAGCCGAGGGGCGGTTGGATCCAGGCAGAGAGAGGGCAGGCACACCCCTCAACCCCCTTCCCTAGCACCTGCACGATGGAGCCCGAAGGCCAGGACCACCTTGCAAGCACCAGGGCTGGGGGTGAGGGGCATGCCTGCCCCGCAGAAGGCCGCGCGGGCGGCCAGGGTGCACGGGGCCTGCGGCAGGCCCGTGCTCACCAGCACGAGGCCCGCCGCGGCGGGGAAGAGCACCCACAGGGCTCCCAGCGCCACGAGCGGGGGGCCCTCGCACACGTGGTTCAATGGGAAGACCACGACACAAGAGGAGCGAGGAGGAGGAGGAGGAGGAGGAGGAGGAGGAGGAGGAGGAGGAGGGATGAGGAGCGAGAAGGAGGGCGGGCCTCCTCGGAAGGCTCTCGGAGGCCTGAGGCCTTCCAGGAAGGCTCTGCCGAGCCGCCTCCGAGGGCGCAGAGCAGCACTCCTCGGGATGGCCTGTGCGGGGGCCTCCGAGGGGAGCCCCGCCGCCTGCCGAGGAGGCCCGACACCCGGGGAGGGGCCGCAGCCCCTGCGCTCGAGCGGGCCCTCTGGGCGGATCCCTCCCGCGGGCCTCCTTCGCGACTCGAGCGGATCGCGCGCCACCTTTCGGGGAACGAGGACTGCACGCGGATCTCTGAAACGCCAAGGTGAAACGCACCCGAGCACCAAGGCACGGACTCTGGCCGCCATGGCGCCAGCGCGGCCAACACCGCCCCTGCCGAAGCCCCGCCGCCGGCTCCCGCACCCAGCATGCGGAACGCCGGCGGCGGGGGCGTCCTAAGCATACAAACTCTGAGATCCGCGCGGATCTCTTGCATCTGCGTTGGGCCCCCCATCCGTGGCGCGCGGAGCGCGCCAGGGGCGGTGCCGGAGGCACCGCCGGGGAAGGGGGTCCAGCGCAGATCCAAGGAATCCGCGCGGAGCGCCAGAAGTTTATCTTTCTGGCACGTTTTCTTCTTCGAACCTGTGGGGCTCAAGGCCGCGCAGTCTCCTGCTGGACTGCTGCCCTGCATGATGCGTCGCTTGTCTCTTGTCTCTCCACGTCTTGTTTCCGTTCTACTGTCTACCTGAGGTCGGGCATCTCCCCCCTACAGGCGGATTTTGGCAGAAACATTAAAAATCCGCCGACCCTGTCGGCGTGTGTGAGGGGCTTTTCCGTTCGAGCCGTCATCTCCGTCATTCTTTGTACTCGTCGTCTCTGTCCTTCCCTTTCCCTGGGAAACCTCTTCCCCTGGGCTCCAGCCAAGCCGACCTTGAGCAACCTCGTAATTGAGTCGAAGGGAAGCCCCTTCCCTTTGATCCCTCCCCCGCCGGGAGGGGGGGGGGGGTAGCGACCCCCCCCCGGGTCAGATACGACGCCCCCCCCTGGGACTCCTCTTCCCCTGGGCTCCAGCCAAGCCGACCTTGAGCAACCTCGTAATTGAGTCGAAGGGAAGCCCCTTCCCTTTGATCCCTCCCCCGCCGGGAGGGGGGGGGGGTAGCGACCCCCCCCCCGGGTCAGATACGACGCCCCCCCCTGGGACTCCTCTTCCCCTGGGCTCCAGCCAAGCCGACCTTGAGCAACCTCGTAATTGAGTCGAAGGGAAGCCCCTTCCCTTTGATCCCTCCCCCGCCGGGAGGGGGGGTGGGGTGTCGACCCCCCCCCCGGGTCAGATACGACGCCCCCCCCTGGGACTCCTCTTCCCCTGGGCTCCAGCCAAGCCGACCTTGAGCAACCTCGTAATTGAGTCGAAGGGAAGCCCCTTCCCTTTGATCCCTCCCCCGCCGGGAGGGGGGGGGGGGTAGCGACCCCCCCCCCGGGTCAGATACGACGCCCCCCCCTGGGACTCCTCTTCCCCTGGGCTCCAGCCAAGCCGACCTTGAGCAACCTCGTAATTGAGTCGAAGGGAAGCCCCTTCCCTTTCATTCCTCCCCCGCCGGGAGGGGGGGGGGGTAGCGGGGGGGGTAGCGACCCCCCCCCCGAGTCAGATACGACGCCCCCCCCCCGTACCGACCTTGAGCAACGTCGTCATTGAGTCGAAGGGAAGCCCCTTCCCTTTCCCTTCCCCGACGGGGGGGGGAGAGGAGGTCCCGGGGGGGGTCCCGGGGGAGTCCCGGGGAAGTCCCGGGTCAGATACGACACCTCCCTCCCCCACCTTCTCGTCCTTCTCCCCGTTCCCCCAAACCATCCCACAGCCCGTGCCTCTTGCTGCGCATTGCGAACAGGGTCGGCGGCACCGGCCGTCAGGCCTTCGCAATACTCTCACGATAACCGAAAATAGTCAAACATATCACACATATCGTTCTCAGACTATTTTTGAACTATTTTAAAGTTTCCTCCTGTAGAGGGACAGGTCCGACTTCAGTCTACCAGGGATGGGGGGGGCGCACGGATAGCGGACAACCACCTGGGAAAGTATCGCTCAAAAATTCTTGGACTCTCCACCGCACGGCCAGGCGTGCCCACGAGGGCTCGAAGACGGCGACGGGAGGCTCCGAAGAGGGCCTCGAGAGCCCAAGACGGCCGAAGATGGTCCCAAGATGCCTCCAGGATTGGCAGCCTTTGAAATTTTATGGGGCCATCTTGGGCTATCGTGGGGCATCTTGGTGCCATCTTGGGGCGTATCCCTCCAGGGCAATGCCCAGGAAAGCCCTCATACGCCCCCCCCAGGAGGTGAAATATTGTAAAACAAATGGAACATGTTTTGCTCCCAAGACGGCCCCCAGGGCCCCCGAGATGGCCAGAGACGACCCCAACGTGGCCACGAAAAAAACAAGATGCAGCCCCAATGGCCCAGGATGGGCCCCCAGAGGCATCAAAATTGCCTCAAGATTGCCCGATCTGGCCCGCACATCGCATCAGAGGCCCCGAGGCGCCCCCGAGAGCCCCCTATGATGGCACCACGCATGCTCCGATACAGCCAGAGCATGGCTCGGGGGCGCCGACGGCAGCGGCCGCAGCCCTCCAGTGCAAGACGCCTGCACGGACGCCTGCTGACCCAAAAACGGAACTTTGGGGCACCCGTCTCATGATGGGCACCACGCTGTCGTGCATCGTTCAGGAGGGAACAAACAAACACACACACACACACACACAGAGACACAATTCATGGGGGAAGACAACGACCCAGAAAATGTGGGAACACATGGGGAATAGTTTTATTTGTGTGTATTTATTCGTGTGTCCTGGGGCCCCTTCAATCGTGACTTGTAGCTGCGACGCCCGACATGATCACGCACGGGGGCAGGTGAGAGCCAGGGTCTGCGACGGGAACCCTTATATTTGAACTAAACTGCCATGGCAAGCACTCCGACGACAGGCGACAACTTGCCCAATCTATGCTACTGCCGATACACGCATACGTATACTCACGAGACGGTCCGTCATACCGCGAAGGGAGGGAGCACCGCGGAGGCAAACAGAAATGCTGGAGTGGGGCGTGGGCCGATGTAGCCAGGCAGGAGGAGAACAATCAGACCCAGCCCACAAGATACCCGTCACAAGAACCACAACCCCGAGAATCGCCAAAGTTTTTGCTCGGCCCAGGGTTGGGTCTCTCGCTCAGCGGCTGTCGGCGAAGAGAAACTCGGGGTACACTGGGCCAGGCGGCTTCTTGCTGGCTCGCGCGGAGCACTTCAGCACCAAGACACTCAGGGTGCCCCGCCGACTGCGCTCTGCCCGCGACCGCTGCCATCCGCCAGTGCGAGCACAAGCCAAAGGCACCCCAGGTGCCCTCGCAAGGCGTGTGGCGTCTCCTGGCACGGGCTCCCACTGCAGAGGACGGAACATTTGGAGATCTGCGAGCGGTGGCGGCCACAGACCGCGCAGCGACCCCGAACAAAACTCCCCGACAGCCCCCGCACTGAGAGCCCGGCACCGCACGTTGTCTGGGCACCGGGAGGCCCCTCGTCGCACGAGACGTCCACGGGAAAGGACCAAAGTCCCAACACAGTGCGGTCACCCTGACTCGACTCCCCACTGGCCCGCCTAGGATGAAAAAAAAACGGCACGAGCATGAACTGTTGGCGCTCCGCGCGGATTTCTTGGATCTGCGCTAGGCTCCCCTCCCTGGCGCGCGGAGCGCGCCAGGGGCGGCGCCGGAAGCGCCGCCAGGGTGGCCCAGCGCGGATCCGAGAAATCCTCGCGGAGCTCCAAAAGTTTATGTGTGTGGCGTTTTTCCTTCGTCGATCACCACAAGGTGTGACCACCACACCGTCTGGAGGGCCCCCCAGGAGAGGAAGGGGGGGTGGAGGAGCCAGAGGAGGCCTCCAGGCCAGATAAAGGCACTGAATCGGGTCCGAGTAGATGGGGTAGGAGAATCGCGCCGCATCGCCAATGCATCGGCGATTCATCGGCGACCCGGCGCGATCCTCCGACCCCATCTGCTCGGACCCCATCTGGGACTGGAAGCGGCTAAGGGGTCTGAACTGGATGGGTCCCGGAAAAATCATCGGTCAAGGAGGCGGATGAGACCAAAATTCGTTCCAAACCTGTTCCCAGACCCCACCCGGGGCCCATCTGCGCAATGTTTTCTACCCCGGATGGGTGTTTTTGACCCTCCTAGGGCCAAAACACGGCCCCCGAGGACCGCGAGAGGCAAGAGCCTTCCCGAACCCAAGGCCCCGAAGCTCTTTCCCCCTCCCTGCTCGTCAAGACCAGCGCCAAGCCACCTCACCCCCAGCCGGCTCCAACCTCACCGGATCTACTCGGTGAAGGGAAAAGCTGGGACACACTAATAGACACAAATAACCAGACTCCCCATATTTTCCCACATGTTCTGGGTTTCTGCCTTCCACCCCACTTCCCATACTTTCCCTATTTTCGGGGAAATCGACGATTAATTGTGTCTGTGTGTTTTTTCCCCTCCTGACTCGGACCCTCCTCGGGGCGGCCAAGAGGGGGGCATCGAAAAGGGGGGGCGCAAATCATGGCCGGCGGCATGTGCGCGGCACCAGGGGGGGGGTGCCCAGGACGTATTGAAATAAGGAGGGGCGCCACGAAATCTGGGGAGATATCATGGCCCCCGCCACGATATCACACCCCTGGTCATCACCCCCCTCTTTGCCACCCCCGACCCTGGGTCCTCGCCAGCCCCTCGATCCTCCTCTGGATGCCCCCCGAGATCCTCGGCCCTCCTCGATCCTCCGATCCCTCGATCCCTCTGCCCTCGACCCAGGCCCCCTTGCTAGTCACCACCCCCTCTTGGCCGCCCCCCGCCATCTGGGAGGCCCCCCGGCCCGAGAGCGCAGGCGCCGGGGAGAGGCAGAAGCTCTGCGCAGGGGCGCCCCCCCCCTGGCCCAGTGGAGCGGCCGCCGGCAAGCCGCGCGGGGCCCCCGCCTCCATGAGCAGCGCCGCGCCCGCGCAGCTGCCGCCCGCGAACAGGCAGAGGTCCCACACCATCTCGCGGGACCGGGCGCCCCCCCTTGCTGCCGCCGGGCCTCCTCCTGCCAAATTTGCAGCAGAACGAGGGCCGAGAAAGCGGGACAGCAGAAGACAACACGGCGTTGCCATGAACTTGTGGCGCTCCGCGAGGAGCTCTTGGATCTGCGCTGGACCCCCTCTCCCTGGCGCCAGGGGCGCCGCCGAGAGGGGGGGTCCAGCGCAGATCCAAGAAATCCGCGCGGAGAGCCACAAGTTTTATGGTTCTGCCGTTTTTGAAGGGGCCCCAGGACACACACACACACACACACACACACACACACACACACACACACACACACACACACACACACACACACACACACGTATATATATATATATAATACACACAAATAAAACTATTCCCCATATTTCCTTATATGTTCTGGGTTTCTGTCTTCCCCCCACTTCCCATATTTTCCAATATCTTCTGGGGAATCGAGGATTAATTGCGTCTGTGTGTTTCTTCTTCGATAGAGGCCCCCCCCGCTCTGCAGCCAGGGAACGACGGCGCGACGGGCGCCGGCCGCTGGCCTCCTCCTCCTCCTCCTCCTCCTCCTCCTCCTCCTCCTCGCTCCTCCTCGCTCCTCTCGCTCCTCCTCGCTCCTCCTCTCCTGCTCCTCCTCCTCCTCCACCTCCTCCTCCCCTCCCCTCCTCCTCCTCCTCCTCCTCATCTCGTCCTCCTCCTCGTCCTCGTCCCCCTCCCCTCCTCCCCTCCTCCCTCCTCCCCCTCCTCATCTCCTTCTCCTCCTCCTCCTCCTCCTCCCTCCTCGTCCTCCTCCTCCTCCTCCTCACTTCATGAGCTTGACTCTGCCACATGGTCACACAGGGCTGGACCTCAACCTTGTTCGTCTTGTTGCCATCGTGTTCTTCGCTTCGCTCTACCTGTTTTCCTGTAACTCCCTCCCATAACGAAAACAAAACACAGCCGAAGTCCAGCAGCACAGCGTTCATGTCCAACCCTGTGGCCAAACTCATAATTACCCGCCACCACTGTCATCACCACCACCGCATCCTCCGCATTAAACTCCAACACCCCTTCTTCACCCTCGTCCTCCGACTCGTCGCATCCCTCCTTTCGCTGCTATGCATCCTCGATTCTCGCCCTCCTCATTCTCTTCAACCTCTTGCCCGTCTGTTCACTCCTCCCCCCCAAACCCCGTCCCTCCTCTTCAACCTCCTCCCACTCTCTCTCCTGTTTCCTCGATTCTCGTTCCAAGGTTCTCCAAATTCCGTCGCCCTTCCTGGATCCGCATTCCTACTTCCTCCTACGCTCCGCTTTCTGACCCATCCCCCCTCAACGCTCATTACGCTAGGCTCCGCGCTCCTCCATCCTTGAAGGGGAACTGGAATTCACAAATTAATAGACACAAATAACCAGATTCCCCATATATTTTCGCATACGTTCTGGGTTTTTGTTTTCCCCACCACTTCCCATATTGTCCGGCATTTTCTGGGGAATCGAAGATTAATTGTGTTTGTGTGTTTCGTTTCCTCCTGAATTCTGCCCGCTCCCTCCAACAAATGTTTCATCCCTCCCTCCCTCCATCCCGCTTCCTCCTCCGATCTCCTACCCTGAATCCCATGCCCACTCTACCGCCTAGCCAGCAGATGGGGGCCGCATCCCGGTGGTTGCACTCCTCGCCATGCGAATGCAACTGTGTGCTCGTCTAATGCTGCTTCTTTCCCGTCGACTTCGCAATCACGCACCCGACGTTGTGCGCTGGTCTGCATCCGTCTTCGTGTCTGTAGCGCAGCCCTGCCTAAGCACCAGCAGCCTGAAGCTCGTGATTGCAAACTCGGCTCCGGAACGACTTGAGCCAAAATGGCTAACTGCAGATCCTCCTCTCAACTCCCTCGCCGGATCCCACTTTCGGGAGCGGCCAAGAGGGGGGTGTCCGAGAGGGGGGGTGCAAATCATGACTGGCGGCATGTGCGCGGCCCAGCGGGGGGGGCCAGGGACGTAATGAAATAAGAAGGGGCGCCACGAAATCTGGGGAGATCTCATGGCCCCCGCCACGGTATCCACACCCCCCCAGTCATCACCCCCCTCTTTGCCGCCCCCGACCCTGGGTCCTCGCCAGCCCCTCGATCCTCCCCTGGATGCCCCCCAAATCCTCGGCCCTCCTCGATCCTCCGAGCCCTCGATACCGCTTAAAACAGGGCTAGGATCGGGATAAATCGCTCCAGAGCGTTCCGGAGCGCTGTCAGAGCGTTCCGGAACGCTCTGGAGCGGCCGCGGCGCCCAATACATCCTCCAAACCCGCCGATTCTCAGAGATTCGAGTTATCCCGATCCGATTTTGTCCCGATCTTCGCGTCGTTTTACCGCTGCCCGACCCAGGCCTCCACGGCGCCAGCGGAGGCCGCGCCACACGCGGCGGCACCGCGGACCGCGGCCGAGGCCGGGAGGCCGTAGGCGGCCTCTCTCGAGAGAGAGGGCGCGGCGGAGCATGAGCCAGCACTCAACCGAGCGCGGCCGACGGCGACGGCGGCCGAGCCGGCCGCGCGAGAGCCCGCCGAACCTCCTCCTCATCCTCCTCCTCCTCCTTCCTCCTCCTCCTCCTCCCCCTCCTCCTCACCCTCCCCCTCCTCCTCCTCCTCCTCCTCCTCCTCCTCCTCCTCCTCCTCCTCCTCCTCCTCCTCCTCCTCCTCCTCCCACCGGGAGGTCTCCGTCGGAAGGATCGGGGAGGAGGACGCCCCGTGGGGGGGCTGTTCCTGCGCGGGAGTGGGCCGCCAGGATCAAGCGGGACTGAGCCGGATGGAGCCGGACGTCGGGCCAGGGCAGAATCAGAATTTGACCTCCCGAGGATGGCATCCGCGCGAAGCGACGGAACCGTGGGCACCCTCTTGTGGACCCTCGCTCCTCGATCGTTTCGACCCTCGACATCTCGGAGGCGCCCGGGGGGCCGGCTCCGGAGGGGCACCAGCAAGACCAGCCAGGAGGGGAAGAGGGGCAGAATGGCCATCCGGAGAAGGGAGCCACATGTGCATCTGCTTGCACGGGCCCGTCCGCCCGCCGTGAGTGCCTAGACGCCGTGTCTATTTGCATGGGCCCGTTCGCCGTAGGGTCCGTGCAAACAGAGGCACGCTCGGCACAGCGGAGCCGAGGAACGAAGCCCCGTGTGCCATGGTGCCGCTCCCCGGAGCCAGCGGCTGGAACCGGTGGCGCCCCACCTCGGCCACCTCAGCCAGCTCCATTGCTGACCTTCGAGCCTCGCTCCTTCGGCCCCACCGTCCACGAGGCTCGCTCGGTGCAGCGCCCGAAGAGCTCCTCGGGGGGGCGAGGCGCGCAGCCCCTTTCTTCGCGCCGCTGGAGACCCATATGCAAAACAAACACCGCCGCAGCCTCCAGCCAGCTCTGACTCCGAGCCTCGCTCGTCGACCCTCGATCCGCACACGACCGCCCCCAAAACCCCTCCCGGCCCCGTCGGCCCCCAGTCCCCCCGTGGCAGTCGCCGCTGCGAGGACGCCCGCCGCTGCTCGACGACACAGACGAGCACGCCGCCGACGACCACGACGACGACCACGACGACGACCATCACGACGATGATCACCGTCACGACGACGACGACCGCAACCACGGCGGCGGCCACGACGATCACGACGGCAACGAAACCACGGCGACCACGACGACGGCGGCGGCGCGCGGCCACCGCTGCTCGACGACACGTCGACGAGCATGCCGACGACGACCGCGGCGACCACGACGACGACCCCCGCGCCGACCACGACCACGATCAAAGCCACGACGACCACGACGGCGACGAACACCACGGCGACCACGACGCAGACCTCGCCGACCACGACGACCAGGACCGCCACCGCGACGACCACGACCACGACGGCGACCACGACGGCAAGGCGACGCCCGCGCCAAGCGTTGGGGGCCACGCCGCCAGGGCGGAGAGAGAGAGAAGGCAGCAGGCCGCCTGGCACCAGGAGTTCCGGGGCCAGGCGCGCGGAACGGCCTCCAGGCATGGGCGCCGGCGTCGTCGGCCTACCTCCTCCACGCAACTCCTGTCTCCTCCTCCCTCCTCCTCCCTCCTCCTCCGTCCTCGTCGTCGACCCTCCCCCATTCCTCCTCATCCTCCTCATTCTGATGGTGCTGCTGATGGGAGTCGTGATGATGATGATGATGATGATGATGATGATGATGATGCTGATGATGATGATGATGATAATGATGATGATGATTATGTTGATGATGATGTCGATGATGATCATGATGATGGTAATGTCTATGGTGAGGAGCATGAAGATTATGGTGATGATGGTGCTGGTGATTGTGATGCTGTCCATGACGTCGATGGTGAGGATGCTGATGCTGATGCTGGAAGTGATTGCCAGCATCATCACCACCGTCACCATGTAGCATCACCATCATCGACGTCATGGACAGCATCACAATTACCGGCACAAGCATCACCATCATCTTCATGTTCATCACCATAAATAGTGCCATCATCATGATCGTCATCAACATCATCATCAACATCAGCATCAGCAACATCATCATCATAAGCACCATACTCATCATCATCATCACAACCACCAACATCATCTCCACCATCACCATACCCGTCACCATCACCCTCGCACTCGAATACTACCCTCAGCATCATCAACATCCTCGTTGGTCTCGCCATCATCCCCATCCTCATGAGCATCATCTCTATCATCAGCATCATCAGCATCCTCATCATCGGCATCATGATTAGCAACATCATCATAAACATCACCCTCCTCCTCATCTTCAGCATCATCATCTTGCAACCAGTATCACCATCACCATTACCATCACCCTCCTCATCACCATCATCAGCAGCATCAGCATCAACACCATCACCATCACCATCACCATCAGCAGCTTCTTCATCATCATCAGCAGCAGTATCATCAGCGCCACCATCAGAATCATTATCACCAACATCATCACCAGTACCATCACACACCCTCCTTCCCTCCTACCTTCTCTCCCAC